CCCCAAAACCCCAAAACCCCAAAACCCCAAAACCCCATATTTGCCGAAATTTAGCTATCAGGCTATAAATTTTTATTATGATTAATAATATTAGATTTTATATGGACCAAACAAATAGTGTGCAGGGTAAAACCCTCGATTACAGCTTGCCAAATTTAAGCCAATGGGCAGCTTACTGGAAGGACAGATACTGCTTTTGTAGATACCAACCTTCTCACCTGCTACCAGAAGCTGCACCCTCTCGGATCCCTCTTGATTCGTTCTGCAAATGAACGATTACGGGATCTTACAAAGTGTCGAATGGTCAGCAACCAGAAAAGCTCATCAAAAATCTTGAAGAGAAAGTTAATAATATTCCACCTCAAAATCATAGAGCAAGTTCCTTCAGTTCCTCAGACAAGGAACTTGAGATCCTAAAGGAATGAGAATATTCCCTTCGATATGATCCCGTAGGCACTACTACAAGGACTAAAAGGGTAGTGATTTGCGAGTTTGAAGGCTGCAAGAAAGAGTTCATCAAAGCTTGGAATTTTCTTGATCACTTCCGCATGCACCAAGGGGTCAAGCCTTTTATTTGCTCAATCTGCTCCAACACGTTTACGCAGAAAGGGAATCTCAAAAAGCATATGAGGCAGCATATCAATAAAAATGTTAGGGATAGGAAAATCCATAAATGACGAGTATGCCCAAAATCCTATACGGAGAGGTATAATCTAAGAGTAAGGCTTAGTTTGGACCTTTTACCCATATTTTGGCCCTTTTTCTTAGCCCTCCTTTCTTATAATCTGTTGTATAATATTTACTCATAAGTCACTAGTGGCCAGAAACTTACTGTTTTCTATAGTCCCATTATGCAGCGAAGCATCCTGGCCAACGAATGCCTGAGCCGGCGCTCAAAACAGATACGAGGCAATAAATCAAGATCTTGAAAAATCAGAATTCCAAGCAAATGATTTTCTTATGCTAATTTTTGTTATTCCAACTTCAAACAAGCACAATGTTGTCTGAGGGGTACTAGTATCTATAATTTCAAATAGTGAAAGGTATATATAAGTACAGCTGGGAATGCCAGGATTTACTCAGCCTAGCTCTCTAGTTTCCTACTAAACCCCTCTTAAATCGAGGGTTCCAGAATTATTTTGGAACACTCCTGAATCATATTTGAATTATTTCGAACTTTAGTAAAAATATACACGAAAAATTGCAATCTCTGAAGAAGTCTGAGGTTTAAATAGAGCCTTCAAGTTTTTTGTGTCATAGCAGGATTTCTATTTGGTATTTGAATATTCTTATAAGCCCAAAGTTTTCAAAAAGAGCCCAAGAAAGCTTAAAATCTTCTGAAATCTTCCCGCTTTACAAGTCTGGCTGTAATAATTTTACCTGTCCTCGCTTAGTTAATAATCTGGCGTTGCCTTTTTATATTAAAATCTTTCAAAAGTGGTAGGCTTATATCCCGCATTCACCTAAAATTGTATAATCTCGCAGTATTATTAGTTATATAACTTCCTGAGCCTTAAAAAAGTACCGTTATTTTTGAGAATTATGCTACTAAAATTTTATTTTCAAAGCTCCTCCGCCTGAAAATTTCCCGGTCAAACAGAACGACCGCCAAGGGAGGGCACTAAACCGGTTTTCTATTTGGTGATAGCAAGGTATTGGGAGAGATCTCTCATAAACCAAGATATGACTTCTTAGCCTAGTAACAACCGGCAGCCTAGCCAGCTGCCTTGGGCAGTCACTATGGCTTAAATAAGACCTCAGTTAGTGCTAATAACTTAGTATATAATGTTGATGCATGTCTTTATTTTTTTAGCAAAATCAAAAATTACTGGCAAGTTTATGAAATTTATAAAACTACAGCGATTTTAATATGGATGTAAATATCGCCACTTTTTATAATACCCAAGTAAGCCTCGTTTCAAATTACTCCGAATTTACAAAGTTGGCATAATTATGGACTGAACATCTGCTAGGTGCTTCAGGTTGACAAGACACTAAACCGGTGAATCAATTAAAATTAAGCGCTGAATTTCATCCTGAAATGGATATTACAAGGCGATAAATGCCTCGACGAGCATTTCTGAGCTAACTCAGAATTTTATTGTTCTTGATAAGCTTGCTGATAAGTAAATAATACTAGAAATGTCACCAAGAATCCAAAATTTCATGAGGAGGGTATAACTGACATTTATAATCAAAAGATTTCATCAATATTAAATATCGCTTAAGGGGTTTTGGGGTTTTGGGGTTTTGGGGTTTTGGGGTTTTGGGGTTTTGGGG